ACACACACACAGACACAGGCATACAGACACACACACACACACTCACAGACAGACACACAGAGACAAGTACACACCCATGCACACTCACACACGAGAGTGCACACACAGAGACACGCACACAGCCAGCCGGCAGCCCCAGTGAGGACAGCCGTGGGGCTGGAGGAGAGCGCTCGGGGACAGGGGCTCAGAGCGAGGCACTGTGGGACTTGGGGAGCGGCGGGGCCCGAGGGTGGCAGGGACCACAGACCCCGGGGTGCGGGTGCGGACAGGGCTGCCCCCAGCCCTGCAGCTTGGCCCTGTGGCGTGGGAAAGTCACTAACTGCCTCAGGGCGGCTCAGTTCCCCTTCTCTGGGGGAGGGGTCTGAGGTCCTCCGTCTGCTGTGGCCAGGGCTGTGAGGACAGGGGGTCCCCACTCTGGGACTTGCGACCTGAGCCCGGCAGGGTACCCCTGAGGGGCCACTGAGAGGCCTGAGGTGCCCCTCCCCTTCCCACGCCCGCTTCTCCCACGCCTCCTCACCCTGCTTCTCTGGGCCTTTGCCCCCCGACCCCTGCGCACCTCCAGGTGCCCCCCCGCGACGAGCTGCTCCCATCCCCAACCTGTGTGCACACCGCCGCCGATTATTATTTACATAATAATTTTGTTAAGTGGCTCAGTTTTTAAAAACATTTTATTATGGAAAATGTGATACAGAAATAGACAGCCGGTGTAACAAAAATCCCAACCCCCGGGAACCCATCAATCAGGTTCAACAATTACCAAATCATGAACGGCTTCGGTTCGCGGCAGCTCCGCTAAATGGTTTTTAAATGGAAATTTCGTGAATGGAAAACCAGAATCACTTACATGGAAATAAACACGGTGATTATTAAATTCTGCCCAGAGTCCCTCGTGTGCAGAAGGTCTGACCCCGGGCCTCCGCTGTTGAAGGGAAAATTAGCCTGCGTTGCTAAGATGCTTAAAATATCATAGTGGTGAGCGGATAGCCACCTGCGCCCCGAGGCCAGGTGAGAGGCCAACCTGGGCTGCAGTAGTCAGGTCCAGCCTGGGCAACTTAGCAAGACCCTGTCTCAGACAGAACATTCAGGCAGGGATGAGGCTCCATTTGTCTGCCGGTGTCCTTGGGTTTGAACCCCAGTCCTCCAGAAACAAGACATGGTTATGCATCCCGCCAGGAGATAGAGCCAGGAAGGTCAGAAGTTCAAGGCCACCCTTGAGAATCCAGGGTCACACCTGGAGAGTTTGAGGCCTGACGGGGCAGCTTCAAAAACAAAAGCTGAGCATTACGGAGGGCGCCTTTAACCCCAGCACTGTGGAGACAGACGCAGGCAGAGCTCTTAAGAGTTCTGGCCTAGCCTGGTCTACAGAGCAAGTGCTAGGCCAGCCTGTCTTTAAAAAAAAAATCAAAACAAAAAAGCTTTCAATATTTTTTAACTTCATGTCAAAATATAACACACATCAGAACGCGTGTCCCTGAATCTTCCCAGACTAAGCGCGCCCCAAGATGGTGGTGCTGCTGCTGATTCCAGCCCCACGGGGAGAAGGCAGGAGAGTGCCCTGAGTGAGGCCAGCCTGCACGCGTAACCTTGTGGGGTTTTTAATGAGGGCAGAATGTTTTCAAAAAAACTATATAAACAGTTTGCAGGTGTCTTTTTGTTTGTTTGTTTTGGTTCTTTGTTTCTCATTTCTGTATTTTGAGACAGGGTTTCTCTGCTTAGCCTTATCTGGCCTGGACTTGCTTTGTAGCCCAGGCTGGCCTCGAACTCACAGAGATCCGCCCGCCTCTGCCTCCGAGGGCCACGGTGCCTGGCTACTATGTGGGTGGGGACGCTTGCAGCCTGAAGGACCTGAGTTCAGCCCCTGGAACCCAGGAGGTGGAAGGCGGGAAGTAATTTCCGGGAGTTGTCCTCTGACCTCGAGTGTGTGTTATGGCATGTGCACACTTAAACACACAAGTAAAATAAAGTAAATGTATTTTCAAAAGTTGGCTTCAACTAGCCAAAAGAGCCCTTCATGTGCTTTCTAAGGAGGCCCCGTAGCTTCAGCTCCTAACGGTGTCATTTCATGCCTCATCCTTTTGTCCCTAAAACTTCTGACTGGTCTATCCTGTAACCTGAGGCATCAGGGCCTGCCACGTGGACTTTCCCCAGGGTCCGTGTGTCTGTGAGCTCCCACTGCATTCCAGACGCATGCCTGCCGTGTCAGCTCCCATAAGTCGGCTTTCTCTCCCTAGATCTCCTTTTGCCAAATGAGACACTGAGCTGAAAGTCAGCCCCTAATGTCCGGCCTGCTCTGGGAAGCGTGTTCTCCATCAGTGTCCCCACACGCCCTCAGCCAGCATCCTTTCAGCCCTGCTGTCTGACGTGCTGTGGAAGAGAGAAGGAGTCAGGCTGGCTTGACGCTGCTGTTTTCTGTATTCGGTGCAAGCAGTAGCCACCCATGGTGAGAGAGACAGGGGCAAGGCAGAGTGGCCTCCCCAGGCAGGGCGCGCCCGGCGCTGCTGTGTGTGCCAGGGCTGGGTCACTCTGAAATGACGGACCAGAAAGAGCAGGGCGGGGCGGAACACCCTCCTGCTGGTGTCCGGGCTACGCCACCCCACGCCCACCACGGGTCTCTGGAACCAGCATTCTCGAGATAGGATTTCAGTGTGTAGCACAGGCTGGTCCTCAAACTCATCAAAATCCTCCTGCCGCAGCCTCCCACGTTAGGAGTAATCGGCCAGGGTTGCAGGCACCCACACCATGCAGTCCAGCTCGTAAGGTTTGTTCGGTCTGGATTTTTTTTCCCCCTAGTTTAAAAAATAAAATGTATTTTGTTATATTTTTGACATTATAATATAGTTACATGCCTCCCTTTCCTTCCTCCAAAACCACCCCGCATCCCTCTCCTGGTTCTTGTTCAAATCCCTGACGGCTTTTTTCATTAGTTGTTGTTATGTTCATGTAGAGAGATAATGTATTCCTAAGTGAGGGAGCCCTGGCTTAGGGCTCACAGCAATCCACCTGCCCCCAGCCCCCAGGTGCCCGGATTTCAGGAGCGTAGCACACCACCAGCTCTCTGTGGTGGTTTTTAAAACACCCTGGGTGCAGTGGTACCAGCACTCCGGGAGACAGAGGCAGATGGATCTCTGAGTTCGAGGCCGGCCTGGTCTACTGAGTCCAGGACAGCCAGGGCCGCACAGAGAAACCCTGTCTCGAAAAACAAAAAGAGTTTTGCATACATGTTTGTCTGTGCATCTTGTGTAAATGTGCGCGTCTGGTGCCCACAGGGGCCAGAAGAGGGTGTCAGGTCCCTACAGCTTGGCTACTACTGATCGTAGTTGAGCTGCCGTGTGGGTGCTAGGACCAAACCCGGGTCCTCTGGAAGAGCGGCCCGTGCTCTTAACCGCTGGGCCGTCTCTGCAGTCCCTTCAACGAAAGTTCATTCCAAAGGACAAATAAGAGCTGTACCCTCCTAGGTGGGCACGGGGCCACACGCCTTTAACCCCAGCACCCGGGAAGGAGAGGCAGGCGGATCTCCGCAAATTCCAGGCCGGCCTGGTCTACACAGCGAGTCTGGGACAGCCAGGGCTACACAGAGAAAGCCTGCCTGCCCACACACAGTAACAACCACCACAGAGTTGGCACCCCGCGCTGAAGCAAAGGAGGGCATGTGCCCCTGGAGACCTCCCCTGGCTCCTAGCCTCGCCCTCTCCCACTTTACAGGTGGGGAACCGACTCCCAGGAGGCGGAAAGTGCGTCCTCTCCCCCCGGGAGTTTGCGCATAGGCAGGGTGCTAGCGCTGAGAACACTGAGGCCAGAGAAGTGGGCAGAGGCCTCAAGCCGCGGCCTTGCCGCTACGCTAGCCCGCTCCCCTGTGCCAGCCCAGCGCTGCCGCGGCCACACACGGACCCTCTTTTTGGTTCACAGGTGGGCATTCTCTCTGGCCTCCACTTAACATTCTGGGGTCCCGGACCCTGCCTCTCTCCTCCCCAGATCAAGGCTGAAGACCCCAGCGGTGACTCAGCCCCCGCAGCACCCCCGACCCCCCAGCCGGCTCAGCCTCATCTGCCCCAGGCCCAACTCATGTTGGCGGGTAGCCAGCTTGCTGGGGTAAGTACCCGGTGCAGGATGCTGCAGAGGGTAGGAGCCTCCCGTCTGCCTCCAGCCAGGGGTGCCAAGTCCCAGCAAAGCCACAGCTGCTCTCTCACAGCCTCCTCCTCCCCCTCCACCCCCTCCTCCCCTTCTCCTCCTCCCCTTCCTCCTTCTCCTCCTCCTCCATCCTGTAAAAGATGTGTCTCCTAACAGCTTGACTTGCATCCTAACCCCTCTAGGCCTCTGTCACACTGGTCTCTCCTCCTCTTCCTTCTCCTCTTCCTCCTCTTCCTTCTCTTCCTCCTCCCCATCTTCCCCCT